GAAATTCTTTCAAAATGCTACTCCTCCTACAGTTTTGGTCTGATTTCAGTATAACTTGGCACACAAGTAGACTACACTAAGATACATAATTCTTTGTATCAGTTTTTGATTTCGATGAACGGTGTTGCCGTTATTACTAAAAATAGAAATTTCTGTGGAATTCTTTCAAAATGCTACTCCTCCTACAGTTTTGGTCTGATTTCAATATAACTTGGTACACAAGTAGACTAAACTAAGATACATAATTCTGTATATCAGTTTTTGATTTCGATGAACGGTGTTGCCTTGGTTACTAAAAATAGAAATTTCTGTGAAATTCTTTCAAAATGCTACTCCTCGTACAGTTTTGGTCTGATTTCAATATAACTTGGCACATAAGTAGACTACACTAAGATACATAATTCTGTACATCGGTTTTAGATTTCGATGAACGGTGTTGCCGTGGTTACTAAAAATAGAAATTTCTGTGAAATTCTTTCAAAATACTACTCCTTCTACATTTTTGGTCTGATTTCAATATAACTTAGCACACAAGTAGACCACACTAAGATACATAATTCTGTGTATCGGTTTTTGATTTCGATTAACGGTGTTTAGGTGGTTAATAAAAATAGATATTTCTGTGAAATTCTTTCAAAATGCTACTCCTCCTACAGTTTTGGTCTGATTTCAGTATAACTTGGCACACAAGTAGACTACACTAAGATACATAATTCTTTTTATCAGTTTTTGATTTCGATGAACGGTGTTGCCGTTATTACTAAAAATAGAAATTTCTGTGGAATTCTTTCAAAATGCTACTCCTCCTACAGTTTTGGTCTGATTTCAATATAACTTAGCACACAAGTAGACTACACTAAGATACATAATTCTGTGTATCGGTTTTTGATTTCGATGAACGGTGTTGCCATGGTAACTAAAAATAGAAATTTCTGTTAAAAACTCTCAAAATGCTACTCCTCCTGCAGTTTAAGTCTGATTATAATATAATGTGGCATGCAAGTAGACTATACTAAGAACATAAAGAGACTTAATCAAGGATCATTATTCTTTTTATTGCTGTGGTAAAGTTTCAATTCCCAACTGCTTAAGAACTTTTCCCTTCCATTGCTATAAGAACAAACCAGTAGAGCTTCATTCTCGACAGAGACTTCTGGTTGATTTCGATGAACGGTGTTGCCGTGGTTACTAAAAATAGAAATTTCTTTGAAATTCTTTCAAAATGCTACTCCTCCTACAGTTTTCGTCCAATTTCAATATTACTTGGCACACAAGTAGACTACACTAAAATACATAATTCTGTGCATCGGTTTTTGATTTCGATGAACGGTGTTGCCGTGATTACTAAAAATAGAAATTTCTTTGAAATTCTTTCAAAATGCTACTCCTCCTACAGATTTGGTCCGATTTCAGTATAACTTGGCACACAAGTAGACTACACTAAGATACATAATTCTGTGCATCGGTTTTTGATTTCGATAAACGGTGTTGCCGTGGTTACTAAAAATAGAAATTTCTGTGAAATTCTTTCAAAATGCTACTCCTCCTACAGTTTTGGTCCAATTTCATTATAACTTGGCACACAAGTAGACTACTCTAAGATACATAATTCTGTGCATCGGTTTTTGATTTCGATGAACGGTGTTGCCTTGGTTACTAAAAATAGAAATTTCTTTGAAATTCTTTCAAAATGCTACTCCTCCTACAGATTTGGTCAGATTTCAGTATAATTTGGCACACAAGTAGACTACACTAAGATACATAATTCTGTGCATCGGTTTTTGATTTCGATAAACGGTGTTGCCGTGGTTACTAAAAATAGAAATTTCTGTGAAATTCTTTCAAAATGCTACTCCTCCTACAGTTTTGGTCTGATTTTGATATAACTTGGCATACAAGTAGACTACACTAAGATACATAATTCTGTGCATCCGTTTTTGATTTCAATGAACAATGTTGCCATGGTTACTAAAAATAGAAATTTCTGTGAAATTCTTTGAAAATGCTACTCCTCCTGCAGTTTTGGTCTGATTTCAGTATAACTCGGCACACAAGTAGACTATACTAAGATACATAATTCTTTGCATTGGTTTTTATTTTGATGAGTGGCAAGGATCATTTTTCTATTTATTGCTGATTTAAAGTCTCAAGTCCCAACTGCTGCTTTTCTCTTCCTTTGTTTTAAGTATAAACCAGTAGAGCTACAGTCTCGACAGAGACTTCTGTTTTTTGTAAGCATTTGATTTTTAGCTCTTCTGAGCCAAAGGCTCAAAGAGCTAATGCTATGGCCATTTGTGCGGTGTGCGTCGTGCGGTGTGCCGTGTGCGTTAACTTTTTAGAATATGGGCCATAACTCAAGAACCCCTTAGCCGATCATTGTCAAATTTGTCACAGGGTATCCTTGGCCCAAGGGCTACCTTTTATGCTAAAACTAGGGTTGTGACCCTAAAACAAGGGGAGATAATCAGGAAAATAAAACCAAAAGTACTGGTTGCTAAAAAATCTTCTTCTCCAGAACCACCAGGCAGATTTTCACCAAAATTACATACAAGGGTCAGGATATGTTGGAAGATAAAAAAAATTGTTCAAGGCATGACCCTGGGGCAAAGGGCGTGGTCTCAAGGTCACTTCAAAGTTAACCAAAATTTACACTTCATAAAAATGGTGATGTTTTGCTTACTATAAAGACTAAGATCATCAAATCTTGTAAGTTTAACACATAAGTAGGTCACGGTGACCTACTTTTTAAATTTTACGGGCTTTTGTTTTCAAGATGATTTGGAGGCATATTTTGGTTACTTTAAGGCCTATGATCATCAAACTTTGTCAGTTAATGCATCTTGGGTCCTTGAACAAGGTCAACTTAAAAAAAGGTCACCATGACCTACTTTTTTTAATTTTATGGCTCATCTTTTGTAAAACATTTAATCCCATTATTTCAGATACTGAGAGGTTTAGAATCACCAAATCTTGTAATTTGATGCATCTTGTGGCCTTAAAACGTATTTATGAAAAAGTAGGTCACTGTGACCTACTTTCTGTATTTTGCAGGCATTTGTTTTCAAATTGTTTAAAAGGCATATTTTGAATACTTGCAGACCTATAATCATCAAACTTTGTCAGTTGATGCATCTTGGGTCTTCGAAAAATGTCAATCAAAAAGTAGGTCATGGTGACCTACTTTTGACATTTTATGGCTATATTTATGTATCTTAGGTACTTTTTGGCTTAGAATCATCAAACTTTGTCAGTTGATACAACTTGGGTTTTCGGAGAATGTCGACCAAAATGTAGGTCACTGTGACCTAGTTTTGACATTTTATGGCTATATTTCAGTATCTTAGGTACTTTTTGGCTTAGAATCATCAAATTTTGTCAGTTGATGCAACTTAGGTTTTCGGAGATTGTCGACCAAAAAGTACCGGGTAGGTCACTGTGACCTAGTTTTGAATTTTATGGCTATATTTAAGTATTGTAGGTACTTTTTGGCTTAGAAACATCAAACATTGTCAGTTTGAGGCATGTTATGTTTTCGGAGAATGTTGACCAAAAAGTAGGTCGAAGTGACCTACTTTGGATTATCTCAGGTACGTATCGGCTTAGAATCATCAAACTTTGTTAGTTGATGCAATTTAGGTTTTCGGAACATGTCGACCAAAAAGTAGGTCACTGTGACCTAGTTTTGACATTTTTTGGCTATATTTAAGTATCTTGGGTACTTATTGGCTTAGAATCATCAAACTCTGATAGTTGATGCAATTTGGGTGTTTAGAGAATGTCAACCATAAGAAGGTCACAGTGACCTACTTTTGAATATATGAGGTACTTATTGGCTTAGAACCATCAGTCAATTAATGCATCTTGAGTCCTCAGAAAGTTTCAAAGCAAAAAGGAGGTCACCGTGACCTACTTATGGTATTTTATAGCTATACTGATTTCATAAATATCTTCAGTCATTACTGGCCAAGAATCATCAAACTTTGTCAGTTCATGCATCTTAGGATACTTAGAGTTAGAGGCTTCAAATAGAAGTGATAGACTCTACAATTTATCAGAAGAGCGATTCAAGGCCCTTGGGCCTCTTGTCATGATTATATGCTACTCCGTAAGGAAACTGAAAAAGTTTTACTCATTGTGTATATACAAATGTATGTATTTGTATATTGAAAATTTTGTTGAACCAAGAATTATTATTCCCCCAAGTGGGGAGAGGGAAAAAACTCGCACTTTCACAGGGATAAGTCAATACAAAAAAAAAACATGTATGGGATCTGAAAAGCTGAAACTTAAATATGGAAGCATCCTGGGATAGTGCTGAGTCTAAGTTGTTCAAATCATGGACCCTAAGGGTAGAATGGGGTCATAATAAGTATAACAAGGGGTATAGCAAGGGAAAATCTGATGAATAACAGCAATGCCAGTAACTCAGGTGAGAGTTGTGGCCCATAGGCCTTATGTGATAAAGTTTGATTGTACATTTATAGCTACAAATCATGTTTTTGTATATTCAGTCATACATATAGCATTGTAAAAACATTTTCTGATCAGTTAGAGGATTTTTTTCATTAGAAAACATGATTGTTATAATTTATTGATCAAAGGTGAAAAAAAAATATAATTCTTGCAAGGGGGCATGACGTTTTAATGGACAAACATTGAAGTTCTCATATCAATTATATGAAAATTACTTTAATATTATGACCTTAAGCCTTGAAAGCCAATACTTTATACAAAGATTGTTTTTGGTCTAGGAATATGTCATGACCTTGACCTATTATGAGAAAGTTCAAGGTCTGAAAAAATATAATTACAATGTACAAGTATATACGGATTCTATTTGTAGCCTCATTTATTTCGCCCCCATCTCATCCCACAACTTTCTTAATCTTCCGTCTGCACTCACTCTTTTGTGTGTAGACCCGTAGTGGCTACCGTACATTTTGAAACTAAGCAGTGCGCATGTTCATTTTCTTGATACAGGTCGTTGAATATTTGAGAAAGTGTACTAAACTTTGCTTAGAAAATAACTACGCCGTTTTAGTTCATACTTATATTAAAGTAAGTATTAATCACCTTTTGAATAAAATGTTAAGTTACTTTTTTTTAGGAGTTTCGTGACTGCACACCTGTGTTAAAATGCATTTCGCCTACTTTCGTTTTGACCAAGTGGCAAGTAAAGTACATTGTACGTTCCTGGAATCGGAACAACCTGCACTATGATCATATGTACGAAATAGTCAGCATTAGATCTATTTTGGATCGATCAGCCCTTAGGGAACTGGAGTCTTGAAGACTCCCTCAATGATATACTTTGACACTTTGTAACGATGATATCCAGACAACGACCAACATGCACTTAGGATTGTTTGTGCTTTGTAGTACATTGTATTAAAATATATTACTGATTTACCGAATTTTTTTTCTTTGGTATAAACAGACGGTTTATTCAATATGTAAGATAAGATTTATTGGAACAATTTTTTTTCAGTTTGGCCGTCTGTGACATGTAAAGAATAACACATGGTATAGGCCTATAATAGGGAGGATAGCAGCAACATGAGATCAATAAACAGAAAGTTTTCAGTCTATGTCTCTAATTGTGTACAAATTAGGTTCTAGTCTATTTATTTATTCACCTATTTGATTTTTAAAAAAATATTTATATAAAGATATGTTGTCTTTTATTGAAATGTCAAGCCATCGATCGCCCCTCACCCAAAGCTAAGACGTCACTAGCAATGATTTCTATAGATATGAAGACAAAAATTCCTTTTTTGTATTTTTTATTATTTTTTCCCCACAGAAGGATAGTGAATAAAAATGGCATGTGCTCAAGAAGATCGTCTGATGACAGCGGCCATTGATTTCGGCACGACATACTCGGGCTACTGCTTCTCTTTTCGGCATGACTTCGAGAATGACCCCCTCAAAGTATCAGCTAACACGTGGACAGCAGGCACGGCGGGTCTCGTCTCCCTGAAGACCCCCACTACAGTACTACTAGACGGGAAAGGCGATTTGGTCGAGTTCGGTTACGAAGCAGAAGATCGCTATTCCGAACTGGCAGACGAACAGGAACATGGAGATTACTACTATTTCAGAAGATTCAAAATGACGCTGTTCAATTCATCGTCTGTAAGTTGTTAAAAAAGATTTTGTGATTCATTCATTTCCTTTCTTCCTTCCTTGATCAGATCTGTCAAAGATCATGTAAACAATGTTAAGTATTCACAACAATAATAAACAACGTGTTTAGTCCTACTCTTTTCCACGTCCAATTTTAGCTGATTTAAGTCCATCCCCCCTTTTTTCATCTATTTAACCCTCTTGCTTGTTTTAAAAACCGAGGAGAAAAATATGCGTCCAGGCACTGTGGCAACGCACTTTGAAAAAAACTTTTCAAAGTGCGTTAAATTTGGGACACACTCAACGTACTTTGAAAATTTTTGAAGAATTTGCAGACGATTTTGAAAAATTACCATGGGGACATTTAATGCAGTTTGAAAAAAATATGTATATATAAAACAAAAAATTCTATTTTATATTTTAGTAATTGAGAGAATAATTCTTAATAATTATATCTTTCGAAAAACTTTTAATTTACATGTACATGTACTCATTTAACCTCATTGAGAACGAAAAGAAGACGAGCTGAAGGTGTCTCAGCCCAACTTTTTTTCCCTTATACATGTATTGTACATAGCCGTCGATAGCTAATTGAAAGAGGACCCCTCCAAGGTTAGCCCAAATTTTCAATGCCTAAATTATGCACAGCTTTCACAGCTTTGCAAATTATTTGTGTGCCTAAGCCAATGTCTATGCTACTCCCAAATATATGTAAGCATTTGCATAACTGGTCTAATGTTGGAAACTTTAAATAAACTTTAGTTTACATAAAATGCATACAAACTGGAAAAAATTGAGTACAGTATAAGGTATAAGAGAGAAAGATTTTTCAAAGAGTGGAAAAATCAAAAATAAATCGCTCACTTTCACATCCTGAAGTAACCTCATCACCGAAGACTTATCAATGCCTAAGATTTGCAAGAATATTGACCAAGCAATACACATTTTTTTTTCAAAGTGCATTAATAAGGTCGATATTAACGCACTTTGAAAAGGCACACAAAAAGTTTTTCAAAGTGCGTAATTTTTCGTAAACCACAATTTACAGATGAGTCCATATTTTGGCGCTTGAATTCTTTTTAAACATTCGCACCTACACTCAAAATCGCTGATCCAGGATTTTTTGTGGGGGTGAGGGGTGGGGGTCGGGTTAAAACAAATGTCGGACTCTGAATGAAATTTTTGTTAAGCACAGAAAAATATTGCTGAACCATTATAAATTATTTCGCGGGTTGGGGTGGGAGTTACTTTCTTTAGTCAATGCAACTTTCAACAGATTACGATTCATTACTGTTTTCGATGGGTCAGGGAAGGAGGGGATGACACGTTAAGTGGATTTAATAACTCGGTCTTTTGTAAATAAAACTTGTGCAGATTGCCGTACGTGTCTTATTTTGAATACTGTATCAAGTTTCGTACCAGTTTTTAGGTCATTCCATGATAACATGATAATGCATTATTATTTAGATAAAAATTTAAACATTAACATTGAAACAAATTCAAATTACACTGTATAGTATTAACTGCTCAATTTTTTTTTTAAATTAATTTTTACCTGAATTAGGAACCATGAATGGTATATGACCGAAGTGATTTTTTTCCAGAGACTAACAAGAGACACAATGTTGAAGGATATGACAGGAGGAAAACAGATGAAGGCTATAACTGTCTTCGCTCACGCTATCCGCTATCTTAAGGACCATATGCTGAAAACTCTTGACCAGCGAGGGGCGGGGATCAAAGCTAGGGACATCAACTGGGTCTTGACCGTGCCCGCTATCTGGGACGACCCCTCGAAACAGTTCATGCGGGAGGCTGCTGAAGAGGTTACCTTGCTGGAATTTTACTTTATTTTTTAATTTGAAATCAACGTATTGTTTACGCTGGGCTTTGAAAAAAATAGGAGTTTAAACACAGAAAAAAATGCGAGGAAATACTTGTATTAAATGGAATTTACTTAGTTTATATTTTCAAGTTTAATTGCGCTTAATTGCGAATTGAAGATCATGTAAAAAAATAGTGAAATCTAGGATGAAGATTATTTTGACCCCGTCTTTCAGTACTGTCTCAGTACTTTGATTTAATTTGCGATTGAATGGTCAGGAAACGTTTTTGAAGACAATCAATTCTCAAAACCATCATATGAATGTTAAATGTTTGGTTTTGTTTGATCTGTGTCGGTACATAATTTTTCTTCGTCGTTTTTAGGCTGGTATAAACCGAGTACAATTAATGATAGCTCTTGAACCTGAGGCAGCTTCTTTGTTTTGTAAATATCTCCCTATAGAGAAACTGCAGGGCGCCGAGGGGGGAATCAGTGCCTTCAAACCGGGCAGTCGATACCTCGTACTAGACGCTGGTGGTAAGCTATTGCTTCTGTTCGATTTGTAGGAAGTCTTCAAGGATTAATCCTGCAAAATTGAGCTTTATATGTTTTATTATATACGGATACTTAAAAATAAATACCAAATTTTAAAGCAAGTTTTACTTTAATTTGATATGATTTTTTTTAATAAAAATTATATGCATTTCATTTAATTACATGTATCAAAAATGAATAAATTTGCATGCTATTGTGAAAATAAAACTTTTTTTCCCCATCTTTATTCCGAAATTTGTCCGTTATTGCACATTTTACATCCTGTATTAATCTTGTATCGTAGTAAGATACAGAGATAATTGCATGTGTCATTATCTGCAAGAAATGACAAAAAGTGAGCTTCATCCCCCCCCCACACCCTTCCTCGCTCAATTTTCTAGTTTGCATTTTTAAAAATTTCCTTTTCAAGGTGGTACGGTCGATATCACAGTGCACGAGGTTCAGTTCAACGGAACTCTGAAGGAACTGGACAAGGCCAGCGGCGGAGCTTGGGGCGGCACTAGAGTGGACCAGTCATTCAAAGAAATGCTGGAGGAAATCGTCGGTGGAGGAATGCTGGAAAATTTTGCCTTGTCGCATACAGCGGATTATATCGACCTGTTTCGAGATTTTGAGACTAAAAAACGTAACGTTAAGGACGATGCTCCAGGAAAAATCACCATTCGTATTCCCATAAGTCTTCAAGAGTTGTACGAGGCGGAATCAGGAGAGGAAATAAAAAAGAAAATTCGCCAAACCAAATATAAAGATGATCTAACCTGGGTTGGAGATCGTCTGCGCATTAACAAGCCATGTTTTGTGGACTTGTTTTCGGCAGCTTGTGATGGCATGGTCAATCATGTTAAACAGTTGTTACGATCGCCCAAAGTTCGAGGCACGAACAACATTCTTATGGTGGGAGGATTTTCGGAATCCCCCTTACTACAAAAAAGAATTCGGGAGGAATTTCCCGACAGTCGGGTGATTATTCCACAAGAGGCAGGACTGGCTGTCCTTAAGGGTGCTGTTATATTTGGTCACCAGCCAGCCACCATAGCGGCGCGTATCGCCAAATATACGTACGGCATTGAAACCAATACATCCTTCGATCGTAGAAAACATCCCGAGTCGAAGAAGAAGATGGTAGAAGGCAAAGAAAAATGTAAAGAGGTGTTTGACAAGCATGTATGTATTGGACAATTACTGGAAATAGACGAAGTTCAAAGTGAAAAGAGCTACTGGCCTTTGTATTCAAATCAAACCAAAGTGTCGTTACCAGTATACACCTCTACAAATGAAGAGCCAGAGTTCGTGGATGAGCCTGGCTGTTCTTACCTAGGTAAACTGACGGTTGATCTCCCAAAGTACGGTTCAGATAAAGAAGTGTCAACAAGTTTCATTTTTGGAGGAACTGAACTCAAAGTACAAGCTGTCGTGAAAAGCACGGGCGAAGTTACAAGTGCAAATTTTGATTTTTTGGAAGGAGAGCCTTAGAAATATTACAAGGGATATTTTTTATTTACTTAATTTTGCATTTTTACCAACAGGATCAACGGAAAACCCATCTACATGAATTTTCAAACATAAATGTATTCTTTGTACAAACAGATTGGCAAAACATACTGCATAAACATAATTAAATACATTATCGAATTTGAAAATTTTGATCAGCGAAGGGGCGGAATTATGAGTGTCATTGATGTACCCACACTCACAGATTAACTTTGATATTAGGGATAGGTATCGCCAAAAATTTCGTATCGCGATATATCACGATTTTTTCCCCAAAATATCACGATAATATCATGATATTTTTACAAGCAAATTTTACAATGATTTTTAATGAATATCAATATTTTTCTTAAAAATGTGCTAAAAAAACAAAATTTCACTTTTGAGAAATTTTTATGTACATAAAATTAATCATGTTTGGATGGTAAGATGCCGTTCTTTTCACCCTTTTTCAACATTTTTAGACTTTTTATGATTGTAATTTGAAAGATTGAACAAATAAATGAACAATTTCTGGACTTTATAATATGTACCTAAATACCGGTATTTAGGTCTCCGTATCACGATATGTATCACGCAACAAAAAATCGCGATATACCGGTATACCGATAAAATCGCACATCCCTATTTGATATGTTTCCAGTTATTGTCCTATATCATCCCCGCCTACAAACTTTGTTGACAATGACCAATTAGTAATTCAAATGATTTTAGGGAGCTAGCAAATATGAATGCATTACTTTTATATATTGGCGAATCATATAACTATGTCTCTATAAAATAAAGCACTTAGTAAGATTTGAGTGCCTTTTCTTAGTATTTGCAGCACACTGATCATAAACTCTACTATGTTGTTAAACATAACATTCATTCATTTTTCTTTCATTTTCAAAAAGAAATACGATGAGAAGACATTTACAACGATAATTCATGCTCACATAGTCCATTCTTGCTACTGAGAAGTGCATGATAAGGTTTAAACTGACTTTGTTGAAAATATAAGAGGAGGGTAGGTTAAAACAGATGATGTCTTTGCAGAAAAATCAGGGCTGCAGCATATTTGTGATGTACGAGGGTTGATCCGAAAGTAATGTCACAACTTCGATAAAATTGCTACTAGTCGACGTAAATTAACAAAATTATACATTGTGGAAGATAAATTTATTTATTTATTTATACTTCTCAAAATATCGAATTATATATAAAGTGCGATTATGGTAGTCTCCACACCTAAATAACGTCGTATTCCGGATACGCACCGTCATACACTTAAACCCCCCCCCCCCCCCCCCCCGTTTTATCAGGGACCTGTATACTTAGTATATAGGTTCCTGGTTTTATAAAAAATAAATATTTGAAATTCACGAACACATTTACATATTTCACTTTCTTTAAGAATTGTTGGCACCAATTTTACACTCTCTCTATTTATAATTTAGTCCTCTATCAAAATTCTTTGAATAGTACCATAAGACAAACTCAAAGTTTCACCTATCGCTCTCTTTTTTGACAACGTCGGACACCACTGAAGGTTTCCGTCTGACCTCCTATCTTTCGGTCTTTCTGTCCTCTGCAGATCATTCAGTGACCCATGACCCGCCCAAAATCGCTGAAACCATTTATGAATAAGTCTCTTATTTACATTCTTTCCTCTGCGAGTCTGATTTATCATCGGAACTGTCTCTACTGGCGATTTTCCGATTTTGAGGGAAAAACGCATTACAGCTCATTTCGGCGTTTTATTCCATTTCGACATTTCCTTTGTTTAATACATCAGATTAAAACAACACTGTTTATGATCAAAATAGCAATGACTCATTTAATGTTTTAACTAGAGACTAGAAAATGTCTTAATTTTTTTTCTTTTAAAGTATTGGGCGATTAGACTCTGTTTTATATGCTTTTTAATGTGTTTGTCTTTTTTCATTCTAACAATATACATTTTAATTAAAACGTGACGTTTAGAAAATAGGGTTGTGAAACTAATGTGGAAGCGGTAAAAATCATGACCCCCGGGGGACACCCAAGTTTTACCTAGAAATATATGTTAAATGTTTTAAACAGGAAAGCTCTACAATATGCCACAATAGGGAATCCAAATTTTCATAGAAATATATAAACATTATTTAATGAAATTTTCAATTTTGATTAGACTTATTTTATGCATCTTTGGTACATAAAATTTGATAATATGAGACAAAATATAAAAGATATTGACACAGTGACATTACTAGAAATATATGAACAAATCTTTTAAAAATCCATCGTACATGTAGAAATATACATTAAAAAGCACAAAAGTTAGTGTAGATAAAAAAAAAACAGCTATTAAATACAATGCAAAATTGACCAAGTCAGTGTAGAATTTCAATATGATAAACCTATTCTCAATGAAAAGTGATTAATCTATCTTATTCCTAAGCTCATCAGTTTTGTATGATACAGGATTAGCTGTGAAAAAATTCATCTCTTTGGTTAAACATTACTTTGAAATTTTCATTAAGCACAAAATGTGCAAAATTCAGTCAATGTAGAATTTCAATATGATAAACCTATTCTCAATGAAAAGTGACATTAAGCTCATCAGTTTTGTATTACACCATCCTTACATATTGAAATTAAAATATACATGTCATATTGAATTAAAATATACATGTCAGAATGATTTATTTACTGCATGCATGCTTTAATAGCAAATGTAATTTTTCTACTAAAGTAGATTTCGTTTGCAATATTTTTGTCAGTTTTGATGAGTGCAGAGAAAGTACGAACTTATTGAATTTATTTAAATAAAACACGACGTAGTAATTCATAAAATGTTTTGTTAAAGAAATCTCATGATAACGAATTTATATTAAGCTGATTGTCTAGTCAAAAATAATAAATGCTAAAAAATATTAAATATATATACGGTGATCATTTTTTTCTGAAAAAAATTGAATTTCTCAAGTCTAATTAATGAATGAATAAATAAAATCAAAAATCATTACACACTTAATTGAATTTTTCCGTAAAAATTTCGGTTTGTAGCAATGCTTTATATCGGGACATGTACCTGTATATTTGTCCGCATTATTTTGAAACATTCAGATTTCAATTTAGTCGCTACACAGAGAGCTTGTTTACTGACCAGAATAAAAAAAAATGATTTGCCACATACAACTTTATTAAAATATTTCGAATTACATGCATAACTGCTTCAATTGATTAGAAATCCCGAGAAGTGCGAAACATAACTCCCCCCCCCCCCCCTCCAAACCACCACCACCAATGTAGGAAAACCCGGTACCTATGGTGTCGACGTTCAGGTTTACTCTGTCTCCATTTGAGAGCTCCAGTAAGGTGTTTTCTGATCTTTTGATCCATAAGCCTTCAGTTCCGATGAACAAGTACGAGGAAATTTCCCCGTTCTTCATTATATGTATCCTTATGTAGTCCGAGCCTTCAGAGGCAGATGGGGCTGGAAGTCCAATAGTGACCATAAAGAAGTACGATCCAGATACGGGGGCGTTAAAGATACCGGTATTGCCATTGTAAGCTCCTCCCTTATTGGTGAGAACATTGTCAAAAATGAGAGTCCCTACGACAGGTCTTCTATGACTTTGAGGGCTTGCCATAAATGAGACTTGTTGTGCTAAAATGACAATGATAGAACAAATACTAGTATTCAGTGTTCCTTTTTAGTTAACCTTAGCCGAGGCTCAAGTGAGCTTTTCTGGTCGGAAAACGTGCTCGGCATCCGTACTGTTCTGTATTTTCCCATCTGTTAACATACTGCCAGTATCATTTTTTGTATTTTTCGTCAGAATCAATTGGCAAATTTAATTTAATCCAAACATGAAAGAAAATTAATGAAAGGAATTAAATAATACATTTGTTTAAAGGACCACACACTCTTTTAGGAAGAAATAAACAAGAAGGGATCAAAATAAAGGAATATGTAGGAAAAACCATTTTCTTCTTAAGAATAGTGCCGCCTTTATTTTTATTATTCATATAAATACAGAGGAATTCATAAGTATTGTTCATTAGTTTTTATAAAATACCCCCCCCCCCCTCCCCCAATAGGAAAGAAGCGGCTACGTTTACATAGAAATGTATATAGAAAAATAGGGGAAAATAGAAAAGAATCTTTTCATCTGCGATTAGACAATGAAACATCGAAGCATTCTCATTTAGCGTACTCTCAAGTTTGTTCACTCCCCTACTCTCATCACAGCCACTTCTTATAAATTTTTAAATACTTAACTAAAGCTAGGGTTTTTGCAGAACTGTAGCTCTCTGCTTGAGAAAATTCAGACAGATAAATGTAAAGCTTTATCTGACCGATATTCCTCAAGCAAAGTGTACACTTCTGCAACTAAAGCTAAATCTTTTTTTTCTAATCATAGCGATCAGGTGAGTGATGTGGCCCGTAGACCAGTAACAAATTGAATATGGCGTGTAAAACGTTGCTTTATTCGATAATCTTGTGAAGTATATGCGATAACAAGATATCGAATATACATGTACATCACAAGTTATTGAACATATTACATGTTATTGTACATACATCACAAGATTTTGCATATACATTACAAAATTTTGAATATACATCTCAAGATTTAGAACAAGCATCACAAGATTTTGAACATACATCACAACATTTTGAATATATATACATCACAAGATTATCGAATAAAGCAATTAACGTTCACACGCCATAATTGAATTATGAGTGATAAATGTTTTTGGTTCCTTATGATACGCATTTATTAGAAAATATAAGGGTTACATTAAATTCTGTTGTGTTTACATAAAACAGTGGACTCTTTGCTAAATCAATTTGTAAACACACTGTATGTCCAAGTGTATTATATTTTTATACATGTATAATAAACTCCTGGCAGAAAAACTACTGAATAAAAAAAAAATTAACTATGTTCTTATACATGACTGAACAAAATGTATGCACATATAGGGCTTGGGCATACAATGTTATATCGCAGATTTTTTTCAAGTTGTAAAAATATTTTAAGAAATGTGAACATAAAATTTGTTCCATGTACAATTAGGAAATTGCGTTGGACTTTAGATCAAATAATGATAATTGTCCTGTTTTAATTTTTCAGCTTATTTGGCTGTGTGTTAATACATGTAAATGCAAAGTAAGAAAATACTTTTATGTTACAGTGTATAATGTTTGTTTTACGCTTGCAGTCGTGCATTTAGGATTTTCTTTTAGTGAAGTCAACATCAATTTATTCAATCAAATATTGGATATCCAAACCAAAACCTTATTTGACCATACGGTATAAGTCAACTGGGGGAGGTAGTATCGGGTGGGATTCCCTTCAGTCTTCAATTTCATTTAGAAATAATTCTTACAGTATAGACCACACTTTGTTGTTGCAGAAAAAGAATGGTCTAGCTTTTGTATGTTTAATGAAACTTAGCTAAAAAGTATTTGATAAGGAGAAAATGGAAGGTAACTCTTATGGTAGGAGTATCATGAGAGCAGTTTATAAAATTCTTACAAGAGACCTCGGATACAGGAAGATATCTGCAAGAAAGATTTGTCAGATGATGAAACTTGAGTTCATTTTACTTTAATATTTTCCACTGCAGAATCCCACTGTGAGACGTGGAGACCGGTCTTTCGCCCTGAGTGCCGAGCATAGGACAAAATTAGCAGCTCTTCTTTGGCAAGTGATGGCGTCTCCATATAAGTGAAAAATTCTCGAGAGGGAAATTAAACAATATACAATCAATCAATCAAACAATCTACCACAGAGAAAGTTTAACATTGGGCACCGCGCATCTGTAATAATTCTTTGACCCATAGTATACGTGTTTAATATTTTAAAGCAATATGAGCTGCAAGTTTGAGGTCGAAAATTTTTGTTGCAATATTGTAATTACCTATTTAAATGACAGAAAAAAAAGAACATTTATAAACTTCTATTCTTTATATTACAGACGGAAGAACAATTTGTAGGCAAAATTACATTATTGTCGTCCTGTACAATATTGATTTCTTATATAATACCATGCATTCCTTTGTATTTTTCTTTTTCCTGAAAACCAAAATAATTCTTTATATCACTCTTATTAAACATAATGGTTTTAATTACATACAGATTTATCATAATAGCATATTTTAACAGCAAAATTAATTTTTCCAAAATGCAGCTCATATTAATTGCTTAAACAAAAAAGGTGTTAGTGAAGTAGAAATAAATCTTTTCAAAACTTGGATTGCCTTATATTGCAGTGCATGTCTTTCAGTACGAGGGCTATTCAATAAATGATGTCCTGGGTGATCGGAAAGAAGCAAAAGACGCTTTTCAATGATTTAGTATTCATGATTTAACTTATTAATCTCTTTTAATTAAAACACATGTCCGTAACATTTTTTATCCAATTTCTGATTGTTTTTAGAACTCAGTTTTTGGTATGATCCTTAGTATACTGGAAAATGGCAGATCCAATGATTTCCTGGACTTGTTTCTTCCTTCTCAAAGGTGTTTTTTTCAAGTTTGGAAATAGAAACAAGTAAAAAGGTCAAAGATCTGGCGAATATTGTTAATGTGAAAAAAAACACATTAACTTTCTATTTATCCCAAAAACCCCTTTACTCTTCAGGGCGTGCGGGTTTGGACACTGTCATGAAAAAAATTAATGTAGTGGATACCTAATTCTGGGTCCTTCCTCTAATAAACATTTCGATTTTTTTGCAAAAAAAAAATTGCCTTCTAGACTCCTCCAGTAATTAAACTGTCTCCCCGAACACGAATTTGAACAACAAAACCACTAATATTTAAGAAAATTGCATATAAATCTGTCTTTGTGCTCTTGCAATTCTTTGCTCTTGTCAGACCTTCGCTGTTTTTATCAAGTACATCTTATGGTAAATTTTGTTTTGAGGGTTTTAAGCAATAGATTCAAGTTCCATTATCTGTTTGAATATCAAACAAACGTGGATAACTACAATTACTGATATTTTGAAATAAATGTTAAGACATTCATACACGCTGTCGTTTTCACTCATTTTTCAAAATATAGGGTGACCTTTGAGTACTAAGCTTTTTTTTTTTTTACCGTCAAACGTTTCTTAAAAACAGTGCAAACTACTCCCGAAATGATGTCTTTGTGTCTTAAAGTCAATCATACAGCATCAAATATTGTTTGTTGAAATTTGGCAAACTGTACATAAGTTGTAATTTTTTGTTGCCAAGGACGGTACCCATTTTTGATGCCCATTATATAATTTTTTATTATTGAATTCCACTCGCTCATTTGTCTATAAAACAGGCATTGGTTGCTGTAAATGTCACATATTTCTGTAAATGTTTCTTTCGGATTATTACTAAGTTTTACAGCAGTTTTAATGAAGATTTTAATTTCACTCTAGTTTACTGATTCTTTACCATTCATTTATAATGCAGTGTATCGAAAAACCCTTGTTTTCCAGCTTCTCACATTGAAACTATGTGATGAAAAGTGGTCACATAAACTGTTATAAATTCATTAAAGATTCAATAATGAGAGAAAGTCAAGCCTAATGTCATATGATATCTGTATTGTATGTTATACAGTTCAGGACATTATTTATTGAACAGCCCTCGTAGTTAGGAGTTAATGTGCGTATGCCACATGTTTAAAGATCTATGGAATGACCACTGATTGTAGGATAGTTATGTATTGTAAATTTATTGATACAGTTATTTTTCTATTGTTCAGGAAGAGTGCAGGAAAAATAATTTTACTGCAAAACCTAATAGTTACATATTCTTGATTTTGAAATCTTCAGTTTATATCATGAACATTGCCCAGGAAGTATTTTCATTGATATTTTTGAGGATAGTTTTAATAAAAATGATTAATATTTGCTTGGTAATCATTACATATTTATTCATTCATTTCAATAGAACTTGCATCAATTGATTAGAAATCCAGAGAAGTGCGAATGATAAGTTGCACCAGGATACTTAGATTTTCCAGCAATGACGGAAAACCCACTGCCAATGGTTCTCATGTACAGGTTTACTCTGTCCCCTTTTGAAAGCTCCAGTATGGTATTTTCTGATCGTTTGACCCATAATCCTTCAGTTCCGATGAACAGGTAAGAGGAAATTTTCCCGTTCTTCATGATATGTATCCTTACGTAGTTCGAGCCTTTAGCGGCGGATGGGGTTGGAAGTCCAATAGTGACCACAAAGAAGTATGACCCAGATACGGGGGCGGTGAAGATACCAGTCTTGCCGTTGTAGGCTCCTCCCTTATTGATGAGAACGTTGTCAAAAATAAGAGTCCCTATGACGACTTTCATATAGCTTGAAGGGCCCGCCATAAATGAGACATGATGAGCTGAAATGACAATGTTAGAATTATCATGTGATATTTTCTTTCTGGTTTTAATTTGTATTTTGTTTGAAGGCTGAATTGTTTTTATAACCGTAGGCTAAATTGAACTTTTTTGATCGAAACAACTAAGGTCTTATTACAGGTAATACATTTTGGTAATATTGAAAGCCAGATCTCTTCTCATTCAAAAGTTATGACCAAGGTAATAAGTTTTGTCGATTAATTGTCCCCTCGCTTTCGCTAAAGTGGGAGACAAAAATGTCCAACAATTTAATGGCTTCTTTAAAACTCTTCCTCATAAACAAGTGGCCAGAAAAGATGAAACTTTTACATACATGTTGTGTAGATTCAAATTTTATTTTAAATCAAGACCCCCTAGAGGTAGTGTAGGGCCACAATAGGGGATCAAAATAAGAGAATGTATAGGGAAAATATTCTTCTCAAGAACAGCAACGCCATTATAAGTTATAGGGCAGATGCTCCAAGGTTCGTGTAGATTTAAGTTTGTTCAAATCATATTCGTCGTCTGTGTGTAGGGTCTTCAATAGCTCAAACAAATATATAAAAATATATAGGAAAACATCTTAAAGCCACGGTAATTCAAAGAAATCATCCTTTGTGTAACTTCGAGTTTTTTGACCCCCATGTTAGATCTGGACCACTTATATGTTTACCTTTTTATACTGTACATATGCCTGCTTTTCTCTAGCTTAAATGCACAGGAGACAAATGTAGATATTAATGTGCAGGCTTTTTGACTTTTTATATCGAAAAAAAAAATACAAAGACCAACGAAAGACTTAAAATCTTACTTGTTTTGTTTAGACTTAAAAACTTACTTGTTCTCTTTAGAGAGCGCTGAATGAATTTAACCTTAGACTCCAAATGGGCAAATCGATCCCTCGTACACGTTTCATATTCGACTAGGTGGAGTCCACATGCGTTGTTGCCGTTTTGTACTGACTTCATACAAATGTTGTAATA